GAATTCTTGTAATATCAGACTCTGATTGGTCAGTTTGAACAGTAAAATGCCTACCAAATACAAAATGGCGTAACAATTGTATGGCCCAAACGATACCTACACACCCCCTCTCTATAGTGGAATAGTTTATTTCTCTTGGAACCAGCTTTCTGCTCAGGTAAGTTATCGGATTTTCTTGGGCATCATTTTCCTGGTTTATCACATCACTAAGTACTGTGTTGTTTGCATCTGGATGATGACTGGTTTACCAAAGTCTGGATTTTGTAGTATTGGGTAGGTCGTTTGATCTTCTAGAATCATTTGCATAAAACTAACACATGTTACCGGTGCACTTGCCTTGCCGAACGGCATAACACTATATTAGTGGCCAAATGGGGTAACGAATGTGGACTTTGTACGTGCATCATTTTACAATGGTATATTTTATGGTTTATTGATTTCTCTATAGTCAACAGAGAATCCCCTGAGAGCAGCATATGGGTTAATACAATTTTCTATTATTCCAGCTGATAACATCGTGCTCGGTTCCGTTTTGACAGCTTCTTTTAGGGATTCCGGAATTCTATACAGTTTTTGATATATAGGTCATTCTTTTGTAGTGACCTCTTTGTGTTCTGTCAATGACGTTCTACCAGGTTGGTCTGTAAAGAGATCACTACATTTTTCTAACAGTGTATTTAATTCTTGTTTCTGTTCTGGTGTAAATCCTTTGTACAGCTCAACATATTTCCAAGTTTCTGTCTCAACTCAACTGGTGAACTTTCTGTAAATTTCTCATCTTCTTTTACTCTGACTTTTACCCTCCTTGAGAACCATTATCATAGAATATTCACATGATATATATTCTTTTTGCATCTTTTCTTGCCCATCTCTACTTCATAGTCTACTGGAGACACTGGTTATCTTGTATGGTCCTTGCCACTGCTTTTTTAATTTGTTTGTAGATGATGGTAACAAGATTAGCACTTTATTAAATTCTCTGTCTTTAGCATTGCTTACTGTTTTGCTGTGTTTTTGCGAGGTTCTGCTGAGCTAGACCTAAAATTAATTAGTGCTAACTTATCTCTTGTTTCAACTGAAAAATGCACTATATTTTTTCATAACTGCTAAGAGTCCTCTCTCTAGCCAAGCATAGAGCAGTTCAAACGCCTATGGATGCTTGTGGCACTTCTCTATAGGCAAACAACAATGTATGTATCTGTCCCAACTCTCTGGGTACTCGCGAAGTACCATTGAAATTCTCTACCAGACCATTTGCCATGGGATGATAAGGCGGACATATCATGTTTTTTATTTTCTGAATATCAAGCAACTTACACAAGTCTTTCATTAAATGTGATAGAAAGTTTCGTCATCTGTTTCCTCACTGTCATTTCCAAGTAGTTTGTCTTCAGGTAGAGTTTCCAATACAACAGCAACAATTTGTCCATCATAACAAACAATCTTTACACTAATAACAGCCATTGGTAGTACCTTGGAACTACTGTATGGATTTATTTCCATGTGTCTAGATACCGACTTGATAGCAGGTTTCATGTGGTGGGTGACATCATTCAACACTCTCCCATAACCTGTCATCATTCAGGGAACTAATTACGAAAAACGTCGCCAACGGTTTGTTATTCCTGACAATTTGGTATGTGTAGTTTCCTAATGTGCCGGACAATTAATCAAGTACATATGACGTGTTAAGTACTTCGTGTGAATGGCTGCATGTGAGTGAAATGTGTGGATGCCACGCCTCGAGCTTTTAAACTTCCATGTGATGGGTTAAGGTTTTGAGAAGTGGATAAAGCTAGTCTTGGTCAGTCTTGGGGAGTTCTCCGCGAGGCGGGTCAGCACTGGAGAGCTCTACATGTGGCGCGAAGACTAGAGGTTGACACGATTCCATCTCTGTGTTTGTCTTTGCTTGGTCGAGAGGGTTGGTGAACGTAACGATCCCCGGTTACCTGATGTAACGCTAATAAGAACACGAGAATCAAAGCTCTCATATTACCATCTGCAAATTCTATGTTAACAAACTGATCTACTAAATAAACTTCAGGGGATACAAAAGCAGTGTGAACAATCGTTTGATCACATCCAGTGTCTCCTAATATACTTATTGCTCGACCATCCACTTCTCCTGGGTGTCTATGTCAATTACCTCTCTGTTTTGTCTTTACATGATATTTGTAATTTGGAACTAACTTCTACAGATAACAACAAAAGGTTTTATGGTGTTCTGCACCTATTTTCTTATTAGGACATGTATTCGCTTTATGTCCTGGTTTATGACAAGCATAACGTGTAAGAATGAGCTTTTGTTTCGCTTGAGTTTGTTCTCAGTGGATATGTTGTTGTTTTTCTTTATCGTTAAAACGCCAATTACAACATTCTTGTTTCTTATGGGTTTCCAAAAGATTATTTGCCAACTCGACTCAGAATCAGTAGTTTTAGGTTTCTTTTCTCAAAGCCAAACTTGCAGGTATGTATGGGTCTGTTTCAACAGTCAGGATCCAGTCTTTCATTTTCTCAAGACTATCTACTCCCTGAGCATCCGAGCAATGATCCGAGTATCCAGAGCATACATTTCTCCATTCACCATATGAATATTTTTTCTGCTTTCCTCTCCAGTAAGTTCATATCGTTTCAAAATCGCTTTACAAACTTTTTGGATAAGAAATCTTAGAGTATGCATCAAGAGCCTTTCCTGACAGAAGTGCTGCCAGACGAGTAGCCCATGTGGCTTCTGGCTACTCAAATACATAACTTCATATAAAGATATACATCTATATACTCACCTTCTTCAAACTTGGGCACAGTTGGTCCTTTATACTCTGTTTTTGTTCTAGTTCTAGTTCTAGTTGAAATTCCTGTCTTTCTTCCAGCTGTCTGGTACGCAGATCACGCTCATGTCCTTGTTTGTTCTGTTCACCAGGTGGTACTACAGCTGGATCAGGATTAAGTTCACCAATCTGTATCATAGCTTCAGCCATATCCTTCTCACCGCCTTGACGTGCTGCCATCTTAGCTGTCAGTACACCTACAAGCTTACAAGGAAAATTTAACTAGTCCACTCAATAGCTAAAACTACATACAATACTAATTAGTATTAAATACTGAATATTTAAGAGTTTCCAAATGCTAACAGTATCAGTCTACACAGACTAAGTTCACAAAATCTTTGTTCACAATTGTTTCGTTTGTTTACATTTAAATTTAACACAAGGTTACACCTTATAGCAACCCAATAAACTACGTGCGGAGTCGATACGAATGAGCAGAAAGTACAATTCAAGTTATCAAATCATGAGGAAAGTACATGTAAAACATATGAAACTATACAAGGTCACTCAACTCTGCAATGTACATAATACCAATTCTGCAAAAATACGGAAAAAATTGCAATGACAATCAGTGAAAACAATTCAGTAAATAATCACTACTGAGTAAGTATAACAATTAAAACATGTATACACAAATATCACTGAAAGTAGTTATATAAGTAAAGTTATAATACTACTATCCTACCATTTATTTCAGCAAGCACACTAAAAATATATTTATAGTAACCTAATACGATTAATCACTGAAATAAGACTTAGTTATTTAGAAATTAGCAATGTGAATTCAAATGCGACAAAGAAACCAGAAAGCTTGCAGGTTTAACTTCTTGTTTATTCCGCCATTTGCAGTTAGATATTAATACATTCGGGAGATCAGTGACAAGCAATAAAGTAGTTCCAAAAACCTTACAGGTAGTCAACAACGACAGTAAATATTACCGAATACACGACCAGGTAATTAATATGTTAAATTAAAGTAAACATGCTTCTATTTTAGGAACTGATGGGGACTGACGGGAAGACACGTAATGACATATAGCTTGGCGATATTGTGTCGTACGGAAGCGTCGTTTAAAATCGCACATGCTGTATAGTAAATGTTTACTTTGAATTAACATAGTCAGAAAATTTAATCAAGTACAGGATTATTTACTTTGTTAAATTTGTCCCAGAAAATAGTGATTTGCATTGCACTGACTTCGGTTTCCAAAACAATAGAAACAATATGTACACTTTTTAAATCTGCCTGAAATGTTTTGTGTAACAGACAGATCCAATATCTTGCTTAATACTTTCGAAGATTAGTTTCGTTTATCAATCTTTTTTAAAAAGCGATTTTCTTTTCCAAAAAAACGAAAGCTCTAAACGCCAAACAGACAGCTTAGCGAAAATGGCGCGAAAGCATCCTGTAAAACTTTAACATATCAAAATAACATTGAGATAAAATGGGAACGATGTTCATTTTTTTCTTATGCGATGATAACTTTGATCCGCTTGCTTTGATATTTGATATGTCAGAATTGTTCATTTCGTGGCAGTAACGCCAATTTTTATATTTTAGTGACTATTTTTGTTATGTTTGGTGCAAAATACTATTTTACATTTTAACGGCTAGTCCGGTTGCTTTCATTTCCCTTTTACACTGTGTATCTCAAACAGATGATGATCTTAGCCAATAGGCTGCGTGTATATTGTAAGCCCATGAACATTATAGAACAAGTTATAATTTTTCCATGAAGTAGTTGGATTCTACTTACATCACATCGTAATATAACAAATATCAAAGTGGTATAATCCATATTGTCATAACTGAGGCAAAATCTAATTACAATGTAAGAAAATAAATTCACTCTCAATAAGTCTAAAATGAATGCATTCTACAATGATTTGACGAGGCTTCTAAATAAGATGAAGGCTGTATGCAGCATTGAAAACCTGTTTATCCTGCATTAACAGAATCGGCGCTTCAACATTCACCAGAAAATGCTTGTTTGGAGGTTCTCTACACACTGTCATCTCTTACCACTTAATGGTTAGTTTTTAGGATAATTTGACAAACACAAGCTGAAATCGGGTCTACACGCATCCCAGAACGCCCATATAAGGTACATTTTCAAAATCAGCACTGCCAAACTGACCAAAAATAGGTAGTCTAGCAGATTTCCTAAACGTATGACATCTCCTCTTATTATGGTAGGTGCTTTACCATAATATTACGAAAACTAGTCTGAAGAATTGAAAACGAAGTATTCGTAAACATCTGTATAAAATTCATTTTCTGAATCACCACCCCCACATTGACCGTCAAAAGTTGGTCTGGCAAATTCACACCTTCCTCCTCGTGTATGCGATATTAGATCAACTTTTATCAACATCCTCCTTTGTTTTCAGAACGTCGTTATTATTAAAGAGTACGGTGGATGGTCTACTGGTCTATTCGGATGTTTCGAAGACTGTGAAAGCTGTAAGTACGGTCTATGGTGAAACGAGCTCAATCAGGTCAAACTAATACTCATTTGCATATTCTATTGGGTGTTTTATTTTGAAAACATTGACCCCTACGTTCATTCTATATATCAATACAATTGGCTATATATTAAAATGTGGTGCTGGTCATTAAAACATACACTGGGACTGGGAGAGGGGGGTTATGTCTCGACTTTAAACTGATTTTGATTAATACAATGACTCATCATCCCAAGAAATAGCACCCCAAGACTGCACGTCGTAGAGCATGTCGGGTATCCTAAAATACGTATTGACAGAGATGTTCACGCTGAAAAACCGAAACACAGATTTTGACTGCATTCCCGATTCTGTACGATTCAATATATGCAGTTGAGGGTTGGGCTGGCATGTGAGGAGGGGGTTGCCATGAGAGACATATTTGAAGCATGAAATAATTATTGTGCATTATTCAAAAAATAATACAAATATTTTCACTCGATATGCGGTTCACTAATAAGACAAAATTAAGTGTCCTGCTGAGTTTGACACAGCGGTCTTGGTTTTTTAGTTATAAACGTTATTAGTACTGAAGTTTGTCCAACTATTACATGGGGGTGTACGTCAGTTGCCAAGGACGGAGGTGACAGAATATGAATAACCTTCCGCAATAATTAATTATTATGTTAATATCATCACTTGTAACGGAAATAAAATCTGTGTGTCAGTTAGTGATTTTTATATAGAGGATCTATTGATATCATGTCAACCTCTTCTGTGATATTCAGTCAATTGTTATTTATAAGACGTATCTATGGGAAGGGGTTGCGTTAATAGACAGTACTCAACTTAACATTTGGTGCAGATATGATATTATCGTATATATTATTTGTTAGAATCCAAGACAAGCAGTCTGCATACAGTGTTATTGGCACACACGTAATTGTCCATAGTTTACACAGATGACTATAAAATATGTATGTTATCATAAAAATGATAATAAAATGATTAAAATAGTTTATCTGACATGTAATGGTGTATATCTTTCAATAGGTATGGCGGCGTTCTGTTGTTTTGGCATTTATAGGTGTTTTTTGGCCAATAAACTGGGTGAAAGCTTTATGTATCCGTGCTGTGCCTGTTTCCCTACTGACCTAATGGTTCTACGAATGAAAGTCAGAACAATGAATCGTATAAATGTAAGTATACTAAAGTTGTGTTAATGTTAGTAGTATCCTCTCAGCAAATTTGAAATAAACATGTATTGTCCGGGTGTTGATTTGGTGCACAGGACACAGCATGTAGACATTTTTGACGCTTTTTATACAATCTAGCCATGCTGTCAACCATGCATATAACGTGTAATAACACTGCCTTACAATGGATATAACATGCCATTCATTCCACAGTACTAATGGGTGTTAGTGTGCTAAACGATTCCACGTTTAAACAAATCTGAATGTAACGTCTTCTTTTGTTTTTTTTTTGCTTTTAGGGCAGTGCCCTTGAAGACTGCTGTGTTTCTAGCTATTGCTCTGCATGCGTTGCCGCACAGCTGTCACGTGAATGGGATAATACTCATTGAGCATGTATAGATGACATGTCACACAACTTGGATAACGGTCTATAAACATACATAGATGACATCAGTATCAGCATTACACATATATATTCATGTAATGCCAGTTGTACTTGTTCAAAAAATATTTTTCACATATTCCCCCGAAAGCGTATATAGTGTTAGTGATAATAGTGATAACAACAAAGAAACATACAATAATAATCATACACCAAGTCATGCATTCAATTGTACGAAATTAACACGCTAAGCCAGTTGTTTGTTATAAGAATCGTCTCAAATAATTACATCTCTCAAATGTGTTTTAACAAAGAAACGCCTAACAAGCTACAACTCCCGATTTGCCTACAAGTAACACACATGTATTCGTTCACTGTCACTTTCTATAATGACGCTGTGTTTCTTCTAAACGGACTTTCCCACGCGATGGGCTTTTCATCCATGACCTAAACCAAATAAGGCTTAAAATCCAACCTGGACTGCGATCAATAAGTAAATGTAGTTACCAATGAAAGCAAGCAATGAATTAAGAATTATCTTAAACCTGTCATTAATTTTAAATTATTTATTAATTCATGTTTCTAATTCAGATATCACGCACCCCATTTCCTCACTGTTGACATTGTTTGAATTACTTTGTTGTTTATTAGTACCCTGCTCTAACTCAGTATTCATTGTTTCTCTTATATATTGAATATGAAACAGCGGTTGCCCTGACTCAAATGATTATTAAAATTTAAATTATGTAATTCATCCCCAGTAGCCAGGTTTGATAACATTCATAAATTCTTCAACTTTTGGTACATAACCAGTTATGCAGTATTCAATTTTCAAAAACTCTTTTTACTTTTATGTTGTAAAAAATACACAGTAGATAAATCTATGAATGGTCATATCTGTAACCATATGAGATTTTACAACTCAAAATATCAAGTAGTGGTATAATCTACTAAATTTTCCCGAATTTGTGGTTGTTATTTATAGGGGGAGTATGTTGGATATTTGAATTCACCAGATCGTATATGTTCCTACTCCTTGAATCGACTCCCATATCTGGTATTAGGTCCCAACAGGATTTCTCTCTACGTTTCTGATTTTAACATGTGGTGTTAAAGGATAACATTTTACAACGTGTCCATAGTGTAAAAGCATCCTTTTTTACTCTAACAGAAATTGGCAGCACAAAATAAATCGATAAATGTACAAAAAATACATCACACGAAATTATCAAAAACAAATAAAAAATTGACAATGTAACCAAACTACACTTTTCTCTTCATTTACATATGTAATTATACTGTTAATGTGTTTTGTTGTTTCCTTCTTTCTTTCAATTGCTCATTTTTTTAAATCAGCCTAGTTATGTATACACTTTAATTGTATATTTACATGTAGTAAAACACAAGACAACTCTACATATTACTTTCTACATGGTAGTTGCAAGTTATACATTTGATAACTCATACTCAAGAAGGTACTGTACCTTTATACCAAACCACTCAACATGATTACCTAGGTGTTTTCTACTAACAACTGCCGAGCAACTTCTTTAATTTCAAAGTATATACTTCATGCAGTTATTTTGACGTCCAAAATAAAGCATGAAAGATGTTCTATAGCCAACTGTTCTTCGCAACGATCATGATGTACAGTTGAAACAATGCACTAATAAGAAAATAGTAGACAATATGAAAAGTTAATCCCCATTACTACTCTCAACATAGGTCAACCGAAATAACATAATGGTAAACACAATTACCTGAACTGCAAGGTTGACCCACATGATGGAGAATGGTGTTAATTATATGTGCTTTAAATCACTTTTTTGTAGCAAGTAGATATGTCTTCCCTGATCTCTGGTCAATAGTCATAAAATTAAAAATACCTCAACCTAAGCTCAAGTCATGATATGACTGATGATAAATGAAAATTTACATATTTGATAAAAAATGTATACAAACAGCTAACTTGATAGTACAAGTTTATGTTTTATAATCTAATAATTTTATTCTGAATCGGGTTGGTAATGGTCATTGATATAATACAATAAATAATGAAAATTTATTAGAGGAGTGTGGATTGACTTACATAGTCAAGGTTGTTTCACTTACCCTAAATGCCTTGATTTTTTCTGAGCCTCAGAATTGGAAAAGCAGTTTCTTGCTGTGTTATTTAAGTGTGATCCACCAGTTGAACTAAATATGTTGGTTGACATGTTGACATTTTGATTTTGAGGTGCTCAACGTACAGCTTGTGATTCCATGTAGCGCCATAACTCACAAGTACATTCTAGGCAATTACTTTCAAAATAAGTGGGAACAAATTATCAGCACTACAGGCAATTGTAGGATAGTATGTAACAATTGTACGAAACTTGGCTGAAAAGCCACAGAATGTCTAGCCGACAAAGTCGACAGATTTTCAATTATTTTCCCCAAATTCAAAAGTCTTATTGTTTCCCTATGTATCAAAAACTAGATCCTGTTTGACTTTAACTTCATCATGAAGTAAAACCACATAGGTTTTAGGTTCTTCAAGGTCAGTGAATCCACTTTTAGTAAAATAGAAATAACAATCATACCAATTCAATATCCAATTCATATGTCTAACAGGGGAAAGTAGAAGTTCTGGACAAAAGATGCAGTACAAAAGACACAAACAACACAAACCTGTGAGTGAAAGAATGACATATGAATCCCAAGGCATACAGCCATGAAGTGATGTCAGGTGTTTCGAAAAGAGTGAGCACATCCTGCTCCACATGTGGAACCCGCCATATATATAAATCTAAGTCGTAACAAGGCCTTCATATAATTGGACAAATGACATGAACGTGAAATTAACGATCAATACCCTTCTTGAATAAGGACCTGTCTTTAATTTATGGGCTCCATCACTTGACGAAATTGTAATAAACTGCCTGGGATAGATCTGTTTTGATCTCTCTGGCTTATTTTCTTACTCCATGTTTCTTTCAGTCTATTTCTATGTGACATACACTTATGTAGTATTAGTACTATGTAACAGACATTTCCATAATTGTTTTATTTGTATAGTTATATTCATTTAAATGTGAAATAAATGGGGTTAATTGGGTTTACCTTTCCGACATACATACAGTCCATTGGCACACAATTCTGATCATCCTTATATGTGGGCAAAACAGGGTTCCCTTCTCCAGTCTTCCTATAAATATTTTCAATCACTTTCATTTAGGCTTGAAAACTCCTGAGATGAAATAATGTGTTTGTATGATTGCAGGCAGAACTATTAGTCACGTCTTGTGTGGTTTCAATGGAATATTTATTAACTTACCTGACACCAAGCGGTTTAAATTTGTTGAGATATTTAATTTTCTCCTTTATTTGATTAAGTGTTTTACCATATTTAATATCTTCAAGATTGGTGGTTCTGCTACTCGATAGCATGATGCACTTTGAAGGAGGGTAATTCCATGTCATCTTTCAGTGGATGACCAGTTGGTAAAAAACAGTCTAACGCTTTCATATGTTTACCTTCGAAGACAAATTGAAAAAAGAGTAGTTAAAATTTGTATTTGTAAAAACAAATTCACCTCGGATTCTGCAGTGAAGCATGTTGACAAAGATGTTGCCGATTTATACTTGAAGCATTCGGATTTAGCAGGCCAATTCATTTTATATATGGTTATAGCTGCTTTCAAAACAAAATTTATCCAAAATTTCAACACCTTGCCAACTACCCCTCAACTAACAGTTCATGGTACCCTTGGTGTCTGACAGCCTTGCCTGTAATATATAATCAAAACGTATTGAAACACTATATGATGTTTCAGGTATATGTTTATGTTCATATCAATTAAGTTAGCGAGGGAGGACATTTTTATTTTTTCTTGATTTTTCACAAATCGATAAACGTTTAAGTCAGATATTGACGCATTATCCCAGCTGTTTAAAAGATCAAAATGTCGGCAAGACGCTGCTAAAATTAGTGTTTTAATGCTAACACAAATAATTACGGCTGTCGTTTCGCGGATATTTGCAAAATGTGTATCTTTGGCACGGCTTACATGATATCATCTTAAGTGCATACTCTGTTGTTGACGATTCTGATATAACGGGTGATAAGCTTCCTGTCGCGAACAATGCATGTTTATCTAACGTCTATTGTAAATTCAAAAGTCTTATTGTTTCCCTATGTATCAAAAACTAGATCCTGTTCGACTTTAACTTCATGTAAGCATTATTTTCGGTCAAGACTTCGTTCGAGAAACACGGTCATAACTTTGCACAACATTCGTTTAAAAAAAAGAAGGAAAGCGGAGACGTCGATGACAGACGAGGCAAAGAAAATTCTGCGACTCAGTGGTGCGAAGTCATAAAACGACTAACAGCACCAGTAGTTTGAGTTCGACGATGAGGTTGAATTATACGCCTCCACGCAAACAATATATTTAATTACCTAACTGATGACTACACCAGACGACGACGAGGAAGCGAGTACGGGAAATCTGTTGCTCATCGATATCCGCCAGACAAACAAGGTCATCAGTAAAGTTTCCGTGTGCGAATGCAACGAGGGACACATGCGTATTGTCGAAGAAACAACTGCGCGACACGAATGGGGCAACAATTTGTACTGCAGCCGTCTGTCAGCAATGTTCCTGACTTCCCTCAAAACGGCCACATTAGAAGTGGCAAAAGCAAAGGAAGAGTTCCAAGATGCTGCTGAGGAAATCTATCAGCTGAAACTTGGTTTAGAGGAGAAAGAGGATTTAGAAAACCCCATAAATATTATAGCTGTCTCCGTAGATGGTTCGTGGTGTTCAAGTGGTTTAAGGGCAAAAGGAGGACTCGTGACGGCAATATCCATAGACACGGGTAAGTGCATTATCGCCGTATTTTATTACTGAAATGCGTTCCTAACTTATTGAAAATCTGACCGTTGATTTTCCGCCTGTTTGAGTTGTGTGAGAAAAAATAATATTATTAGTCAGTTTACCCAACACCAGAAAAAATAATCAAAAT